AGGGGAGAGAATTCTTGGAATCAAGATAAATATTTGTTATATATATATATATATAATATGTGTTATATTTTGATAAGGATAAAAATAGATTTAACTATACCTGGTAGGAAATCTTTAAAGCTTCGAATCCAAGACGCAAATATATGAGAAAATAGTTCTACGTAGAACGCGTAACCATAGCTCGGGCTGGAAGCGAGGAAACTGGGAAATGATACCATGCAAGCGTCAGCGTGATGCAGCTGCGCAAGACGGCTCCCAGCAATTAATCAGATGGTGAACATTGGATCCTCGATCAATTCTTGCAATTTACTTAAAAACTTTGCAGTGTTTTGGCTTTGATTTTTTTTTAAAAAATTCAGTTATTTTTAAGATTTAATTAGAAATTCAATCATTTAACCTAAATTTATCCATTTAAATCCAAATAATTTAATATATTATCATTTTAATATGTTAAAAAATATATTATGTTAATTTTTTAATTAAATTATAATTTTACAAGTCATTAAAATTATCTTTAGATCTATAAAATTTATTAAATTATATCGAATCAACACTGTATAATTAATTTTTTATTAAAAAATGTATTAATAATATTTAGTTATTTTTATTAAAAAATATATTAATAATATTTAGTTTTTTTTTTTTTAAATTAACCCCCAGCAGCGTGTAACAGACAATTATCTTGCTGAATTTCTTAGCAGGCAAGAGGTGGTGGATAAATTGAATGCCAAAACATCCTCGACAAGTCATAGGTTAACCAAACCAGAGCCTTGAAGTGGAACCGACAAATATGCTCTATGCATTTTGACGTTTTACCTACCAGAAATCTCATCAATAGTTCCTCCCACTAAAAAAAACTCATCATTCGTTTCAACCACGGGCATCAAAGTTAAAAATAAAAAATAAAATATTAATTTATTTTTTCAATACTTATTTTTCTCCCTTTATTTTTTTTCTAAAATACAATTTCTCTTGTAAAAAAATTATTTTTATATATTTTATAAAAATATCAAAACTATTGTTTTCATTTATTTTTTTTAGTATTTTTAAATACATGTTTTTTCTACTTGTATTTTTATAAAATTATTATAATTTTATAATTCATGTTATGAGATTGTTGAGTTTATTCAGGTTAATTTAAATTGATTTTTAATTATTTTTTTGTAATTTTATTATTTAATATTAAAATAAATAAAATTAAAATTTATCGAGGTTATTAAATTATTTTAAATTATTAAAATAATTATATATTAAATATATTAAAGTATAATTTATCTTTAATAAATGATTTTTTAATATGAAAGTGTACATGAACCAAAAAAGATAATTATTACATCTGCACTATTTATAAATCTTATTGCCCATTCGAACTGTTGTAAGTAGCGAAGAGAAAACAAATACAGTGATGAACTGCAACCAAAAAGGTTCTTTTTACATATGGACGTTGACTGACCGCTTCCTGTAATAATTGCATCAAAGGCGGGTTCCTATGCATGTGTTTTTTGTTTTAAAATAATTTTTACAAGAATTTAAATTTTATTTATTTATATTTTATTTTAAATATTTTAAAAAAATAAAAAAATATTATTTTAATATATTTTTAAAAAAATATTTTAAAAAATAATATTATCATATTAATTTTTTTAATTATTATAAATATTCAAGTCAGCTTCAACACACCTTAACTAATTTTAAGTTAATAATAATATATATTTATAATAATTACATCTTCCTAAGTTATTATCGTAGTGTGGTTTCGAAGGCTTCCGAACACTCCCGATACACAAGCAAAGACTGCAGTGGTTTTGTTCCTCATATGACTTCTAAAAGTTTCGAAGGTTGAGTTTCTCCTTTGTGAAAAAAGGAAAGCGAAGAGTAGGAGTAGTTGAGGCCATTTTGAGTGTAGAATCCACATTCCTCAGTAACCATGGAGATCCCATCAAGTGATTCCATTCCGTCTAAAATGAAGGCTTGGGTCTATGGTGAATATGGGAACGTTTCCAATGTCTTAAAATTAGACTCGAACGTTACAGTTCCTCAAGTGAAAGAAGATCAGGTTCTGATCAAGGTTGTTGCTGCATCCATTAATCCAGTTGATGCTAAAAGGATGCTTGGCATGTTCAAAGTCAGTGACCCTCCTTTGCCGGTAAGGAGAACTCTTCTGACACTTAAATTAATTTCCTGGTATATATGCTTGTTTGTTCTTTCTTGAGTCATCTACTTTAGAATATTCGCGCCTGTTAGAAAATCTTGCGTGTTGCAATCTTAGTTCTACATCTTTGGCTTTTGTTATAAGATTGCCATGCATGGCCTCTGACTTTCGAGTCCTCGCACAAACTAGGACTCGAAGATGATAGCTAGCCATGTTTGATGGGGTTCCCAGTGCTTTCTTTCTCAATATGTTTTGAAGAATTTTAAATGGTCCAGGTATAATGAATTATTGCGATAGTTTCGCTAATTGAAGATGAGACACTTCGTTCAAGGACTTCTGATTTTGTTGTTGTATCTGAATTGGCAGACTGTTCCGGGCTATGATGTGGCTGGTGTGGTGGTTGAAGTTGGAAGCCAAGTTAAAAGGCTGAAGGTAGGAGATGAAGTATACGGAGACATCAATGAGAAAGCTTTGGACCACCCCAAACAATTTGGCTCTTTAGCCGAGTACACTGCCGTTGAAGAGAATCTATTGGCTCTTAAGCCCAAAAATCTGAGTTTTGCTGAAGCAGCCAGCCTACCCCTTGTCATTGAAACCGCTTATGAAGGTCTTGAAAGAACTGGGTTCTCTGCCGGCAAATCTATCCTTGTTTTAGGAGGTGCTGGTGGAGTTGGTACCCAAATAATTCAGGTAGCCTTTTTAATTCTATTTAGAGAAAAATTTTATCATCTTCTTTCCGCCCTCTGATTTTCCTAGTTGGGTTTCTTCCTTGGTGTTTTCTTTTCGTTTTGAGACAGCTGGCAAAGCACGTTTTTGGTGCATCTACAGTAGCAGCAACCTCTAGCACATCAAAATTGGAGTTGCTGAAAAGCTTAGGAGCAGATTTGGCTATTGATTACACCAATGAAAACTTTGAGGACCTGCCAGAGAAGTTTGATGTAGTATACGATGCAGTTGGTATGATTCTAGATCCATTATTGACTTCTAACTTCTTTCTTGCTGCACTTCTATGCATATTAAATACCTCGATATTTTCTGGCATGCCCATTTACTTGCGATATACATGAACGAACTGTAGTGAGTTCTGTTTGTTAAATATTACCGTTTTGTAGACCAGGGGGTGGCAAGCAGGGGCCCGGGCCCCTGCAAAACATTTTAAAATTTTCTATTATTTAATATTTTTAATTTAAATAAATAAGCTTTTTAATAATATATATATTATTATATTAATTTTGGCCTCCCCTGTAAAATGAACGTAGCTCCGCCCCTGTTTGTAGGCATATGTGAGTTTTATGACTGGGTGTATGCTAAACTGCTAATACTTAAGATTTATTCTAAACCACCATGACACTCATGGTTGGCTTTCAATATTCAAAACAAAAAACAGGGCAGTGTGACAGGGCAGTCAAGGCAGTGAAAGAAGATGGAAGTGTGGTGACAATAGTTGGTCCTGTAACTCCCCCGGCTTTGATATTCGTGCTCACTTCTAACGGCTCTGTCTTGGACAAACTGAAGCCCTACTTGGAGAGTGGAAAGGTGAAGCCGGTGCTAGATCCCAAGGGTCCATTCCCATTTTCTCAAACTGTAGAGGCATTTTCCTATCTTGAAACCTGCAGAGCTGTAGGAAAAGTGGTAATTTATCCGATCCCATGATTCCTGAAGACGAGATCGGAAAACTGCTAATACTTAAGATTTATTCTAAACCACCATGACACTCATGGTTGGCTTTCAATATTCAAAACAAAAAACAGGGCAGTGTGACAGGGCAGTCAAGGCAGTGAAAGAAGATGGAAGTGTGGTGACAATAGTTGGTCCTGTAACTCCCCCGGCTTTGATATTCGTGCTCACTTCTAACGGCTCTGTCTTGGACAAACTGAAGCCCTACTTGGAGAGTGGAAAGGTGAAGCCGGTGCTAGATCCCAAGGGTCCATTCCCATTTTCTCAAACTGTAGAGGCATTTTCCTATCTTGAAACCTGCAGAGCTGTAGGAAAAGTGGTAATTTATCCGATCCCATGATTCCTGAAGACGATATATATATATATATATATATATATATGCACAAATAAATATTTTATCCTCAATGTATGGGGGATGCTGGTGGATTGACTGTATAATAAAGGTCCTGCAGTGTGCTTATGGATTATGACTGCGTGAAGTAATAATTGCTTATGTAATGTATTTCTTCAAGCCTCTCTTTAAGAACCTAGAGATTCTAATTAACTTCTGGGCTATGATGTGGCTATAAACTTGTTGGGATGCCAGAGGAATTAGCTCACTAGGGTTAGCACAATATGTGGAATGATTGAATGGCTGGATGATTGATCAAGCTACTCGAATACAGTAGCTCGTATTGGGTTGATTGGGGTAGGGCACCTCCAAAAGAGAGGCATCAAAGACCCCAGAAATTCATGGAAGGTTCAACGTAACTAGAGGATTTTGGTGCAGTGGCTAATTTATGGCATTCCACTAGTTATAAAATGAGCGACCATAAACCATCGGCCTTTTCACAAATCCATCTAGATCTTGGCCACAAGAATTTTATCATGCCAGTAGAAATACTGGTGCTCTGAGTAGGTGGTGAAATCATTTCATGTAATAAAAGAAAATGTAGCTAGAACAGAAGGATGCTCAGAGTCGCAAACTAGACCTTGATTTTACAGGATCGGGCTAATGCTTCGTAGGACTTGAAAAGGACAGAATGTGATGAGTATTGGTGTTTTGTTCCGGCATCAATTCTGCGCATTGAGATATATCATTAAAAATCTTGACTAATCATGATAGGAAACCACTACTTTATTTGTCTGCATTTAACCACGTGCCAAATTATATTTTTAAAAATATAGAAATATTTTTGCAATGTTCTAAACTATATAGACTATAAAGTTTTAACAGCTAACTAATGTAAATTAGTCTTAACAAAAAAAATATTGGATGATTTTTTTTATTTTTAAAAATTAATGTTAAAAGATAAAATTAAAAAAAAATTACAAGTAAAAAAAATCAAATTTTGTAAACTTTTCAAACCAATAATTCGAGACATTAAATAAAAAATATCATTTATAAAAAAACAGTAAAATTCAATTCTCAGTAAATATAATATTGAAGGATGAATTATTATAATTATTATAATAATTATTATTATTTTTCTCATTGATATTATTATCATTATTAATATTATCACTATCATTACAGTTATTATCATTACTACTATTATCAATAAATAATATTATAATTTTTATTGTTGTTATTATCGTGATCATTATCACTATCATTATTATTAATTATTATTATTACTATTTATACTATTGTTATAATTATTATAACTGCTATTATTATTATTATTATCATCATCATCATCACAATTATTATTAGCTATAATTATATTATTATTAATAATAATTTTTTTAAAAGTATTATTACTATTAAAAAAATCATTAATTTGATTTGAAGGCTCAAATTAAAAACTAAAAGAACTTTGAAAAAAGAGCCACGGAAAAAAAATTAAAAATAGAAAGATCAAATTAAAAAACATAATATATACAAATTATAATTGAATGACTAAATTATAATCAAATAAAACTCAAACAAAAAAAAAAGAACCAAAATAAAAAATCAAAATAAAAAGAATGGACTCTGAAACACCAACAAAAAAATAGGAATGGATTTAAGGGACTGGAACTATAAAAAAAAATAAAAAAATTAAAAGAATGAGGACTAAAATAAAAAAAAAATATATAAGAAATTGTAACTGAAGGAAAAAATTGAAAAAAAAATTTTATAAAAAAATAAAGATGAAATAAGAAATTCAAAAAATGAGAACTGAAATTGAAAAATATATTAAAAAAAACAATTATGTACTTTAGTTATTAGGAGAGAGAAAAAAATAAATAAAAAATTGATCATCGACTGCAATCTAACTATTATAAATTTACACGTGTCATATTATGTGAAAAAAGACATGAATACACATCCAATGATACGATGAATAATCAGATTTAATTATTACGAAGCATTACACGCACCACTTGAATGGTATAGACACTACTTACTCGTTGGTGAGTGTAGAACACATGCCATAAACTTTTTGATTAAAAAATAAAAAAATAAAAAGTGAAAATACCAAAACACTCCTGTTATCCTCTTAATTACACAAAATATCCATATAAAAAAAATATCAAAATACCCTAAAAAAAAAGCTAAAAAAATAAATAAAAAATTGATCATCGATTGCAATCTAACTATTATAAATCTACATGTGCCATACTATGTGGAAAAAGACACGAACACACATCCAATGATACGATGAATGACCATATTTAATTATTAGGAAGCATTACACGCACCATTTGAATAATATAGACACTACTTACTCGTTGGTGAGTGTAGAACACAAGCCATAAACTTTTTGATTAAAAAATAAAAAAATAAAAAGTGAAAATACCAAAACACTCCCGTTATCCTCTTAATTACACAAAATATCCATATCAAAAAAATATCAAAATACCCTAAAAAAAAAAAAGCTTTGTTTTTTTGTCTTTTCTAAGACTAAAAAATTTATTTTACAGTGTTAAAATTTTTGAAAATAATTATATAGCCCAAATAATTTTTTAATGACCACTAAACTAGAAAAAAAGTAAAAAAAACATCTCTAAATAAAAAGCTTAAATTTAAAGCTCTCAGGAGTAAAAATATAATTTCACTATAATAATCCACAATAAATTACATACCACAATAAATTACATAGTGCTATAGTGAGATCTCCAGGGTTGCTATAGTGAAATCTCCAGGGTTTAGCTTTCGTTAACGTTCACGACTGACCTGACAAGCACATCCTGGGACTTCCAAGGTCCTTTTGGATCTTCGCTAGTCAGCATGAACCTCATACGTCCCATGTAAAATGACGACCAATTCACCATTCTAGCCCATGATTGCCATTGCCAAATGTTTCTAAGGCCATCCCAACTTGTTTCGAGAGTAGCATGAATCCTAGCTATGCTGGTTTTAAATTTAACCCGTGGATCCAAATTAGATAATCATAAACAATCTAAATCCGTTTATAACTTCTATAGTTTCTACCTTGTCTGATATTCTTTGATTACAAGAAAAATAGATTAAAAAAACAGGCTCCTATTTCCGACCACCTGGACCAAGATCACTGTTGCTAGAGATGGAATTCTGCCGCCGTAGCGAGATGTTTTTGGAGGCTGACTTTACGACCATATGAGAGAACCATTACAAAATCTTCAGCTGAACTGCCTACGGTTGTCTGTATTCTTTCAGATGCTGAAGCTGTCTGCGACCACCAGTCTACCAAGTTATGCAGCTGCAACGTTGAAGCCACTGGCTGACCAAGCAATAAGATCTCCACCTATGAAAATCTGAACATTACTCACGGTGTTTTAAAATTTCCTCAATTTCATAGCCTGTACTTTCCAAATAATTTTTGGAACACACTTCACCGGCGTTTTATCTTTTAAAAAGATGGCAAACACTTTTATCAAAACAGAAACTGTTGCAGGTCTTGTTAAGGAGGACAGTATGAAAAAGGGTTGATTGCAATATCAGAAACCAAGAGAGTAGAAAGCCTTTTCCCTGCCATACGTTGTTGAAGATGACTTGAAGGAACCACAGGGTAATTTGGACATTCAAGTTCAAAGGAAAGAAATCTTTGAATGTTAATGATAAGAAATAAATACTGTCCACTTTCACTACCAACAGGAAAAGAAGAGGGAATGGAGGAAATAAAACTATTTAACATGCACAAACTCATTAACATGCTAGAGGGTAAAAAGAGAGGATCAAGTTACCTCAGCCTCACTGACAAGACCCAGCTTCTGAACAAGATACTTCTTTATATGTGAAACAGGCAAACTACCATCCCTACAACGAAATAGAAAAACTAATCAATAAAATTTATAGATGGGTTAATGAATAAAGAACATCTCCTGACTCCAATGACATATTTCTTCATAACAGCATGAACAATTAAAAGAAAGCTCCAAAATAGTTCTTGGTATATTTGTTTCAAAATAAAAGTTCTTGGTATTGAACCCCCCCCATAAAGCTGCTCTTAGAAGTAACATAACTTCGAAGGCAAAGATTCTTCTGGATATTCATTATTAATATTCTAAATGAAATTCTGGCCTAGAAAAAGAAAATCAACATCATATGTGGTGTGCAGAATTCATGTATCCAATTAAAATGCTTCATGATCTTCTCTTTCACGGGACAACACCATCATTTTTTTTTTTAATTCTATGTGCTACTATGTTAATGTGACCACTAGTGTGCAATCAGAAACTTAAACATGGCTAAGCATGCAAAACTTCACAGACAATATTGTATCTGCAACTGCCCATCAAAGCAATGCAGGGAAACACCCTATTCTCTGAGGCTTTCTAACATTCAGGATTTTGAAAAACAGGGTTTCACGTGTTGCTGATATTTGAAAAGAATGTTTGCTCCTGGACTTTCAATATCATTCCTTCAATCTTATATTCTTCACAGAAAAATTTGTAGCTCTGTAAAGCCAAAGAATGGGATGGCAATGAAAGAGCACAAGAGTCATAAATATAGCGAGATATGAGTAGGCTTAAAAATGTAGATATAATTATTTTTCTAACATTTTTATGAGAGAAAGAGGCAAGTATCAAGTTCATCTCTCAGATAAATCATAATTTGCGTATTTTAAAAAGCAAACATAGATACACCCTCACAATTCATGCGAGTCCTAAAGGACAACAGAATTGTATGTTAGCTATTATATTCATGGTGATGGAGTGATTTGTATTAGAGGTTAATAATAAGTTCAAAGATCACAGATTCCAAAATGATAGAACTATGTTTAAGCATATATTTTATGTGATCAGTTAGGAGCCAGTTCACCTAAATCTAGTTAATCAATTTTGCTACTTCAAACAGGTAATAATAAGTTAGCTATTATATTCATGGTGATGGAGTGATTTGTATTAGAGGTTAATAATAAGTTCAAAGATCACAGATTCCAAAATGATAGAACTATGTTTACACATATTTTATGTGATCAGTTAGGAGCCAGATCACCTAAATCTAGTTAATCAATTTCGCTACTTCAAACAGGTAATCTCTTCTATAGCAAGTGTGAGTTTGGAAATGCAGTTGGGTTGAAAAGGCACCATAATGATGCCTTCTGCATTTCCAAATGCAATTGACAACAATACCGAACAGGCTGCAAAGTTAGCTCTAGCTCTATAATGTGCCCAGGATTGTAAAATATGGTCCAACAGAGTGATGTGTGATTTTCCATGACTATCTTTTTTTTCTGGAGCACAGCATAATATAGTTTACTTCTAGGCTGCGATTTAGTTTTTTTTTCCTGCAGAATATCTGGAGCACATATTCACTGAAACCAAAACGTGTAAATGGAAATAGACATCATACTATTATGATGGAGGACAAGAGCATATCAAGCTTACAACAGAAGCTAAGGGAAATTCTATGTGGGAAATCAAAGTAGCATAGAAAACGTTGGATAAGATAGAACATCAAAATACATCCACAAAGCTTAGTGTACCAAAATGCAATTACAATTTCATTGTGTGTGCGCGCGTGCGCGTGTATGCATGAATGTATAGACTCCTGGTTAAACTGTGTTTTATAGCGCCATTCTTCAGTTTTGTAAGAAATTCCATGGTTTGCTATATGTGAAATGGTAATTGCATATATTATGATTATAAGCCAGATAGTGAGGATAATGAAACTCACTTAACCCTCAAGTAGCAAGAAGATATCTGTGGCAAGGGCGCAACTCCTTCCCTGAAATTATGCCAAAGAGAAACTATATTTAACATGTCATTGTATACTTGACTTCAATCATCAATAAATCTTCGGTGATGGTCAAGGAACAATATCTCACTCTTCATCAGAAGCAACTAATGACAACCAAATTGGACTAAATCTTCTGTCACAATTACTGTTTGCTTCAACAGCAGCCCGTGCTGGGATATTAAATCCCTCTCTTTTTTGTCGCATGGCTTGCAGCCTTCTAGGTTTAACTGAACCTGAAGGTGATGAAGTTGAGTTAGATTCTTCACCGATAACTTTTGATTTATCACCATGCTCCTTAATGCTGGTTTTGAGTGCTTGAGCTTCTTCCTCCTGGGCATCAAGCTTCTTTATTTGGACAATAATTTCCTGTAAGTCTGACTTATTAGACTTTGTTTTGGTTGCAGCTTCAACCAAGCAATTTAAGGGTTTCCACAAATCAATTTTCTCTTTACATGGTTTAACATCATTCTCTACATCTAATTTATTAGGCTTCTGTTGTTTGGATGACTCAGCAGTAGAAGAATTCTACACCATGAAAAAATAATTACATGAAATTATTATGCATCAAAGGAAAAGCAGATCATTTTCAAGAGACCAAAAAAAGAAGGAAAAAGGTAGTGGCAAGAAAGCTTCAAGCTTAAACACTTCTACCTGCCTTTTAGTTTGTGCAATTTTTCTTAGAGTCTCAGGAGAGCTTAAACTCTCATAGTAATCGTCCACTTTCTTAATCTGTTCCTCAACAGGAATGGGAGATTCTCGTTTTCTAGCTACAGATTTTGATCTTTTTCCTGTCAGAACAGACTTGACAGATATCTTAGGTGTGCTGACTACCAATGAAGAGAGAGATCTCTCCTTTCTTCTGCCTATCAATGGAACTGAGTGCTCAGATTCTTGGACTGGCACAGCTTCTGGGACTGAGGAAACCGTTGCAGGTTCCCTGGCCTTTTTTCTTTTGGAAGGGAAGATTCTAGCCCTTAAATCTTGCAAGCTGTGGTCTGCCCTGTGGATTAACATAATGAAAGCAAGTTAAAACAAGCTCAAGATTCTGCAACTGTAGTTAAATCCATGTCCACTTTCTCAATTTGGTCTGTCTTCCAAGCATTATGAGTACCTTGAAAATGGACTTCTAATTTTTCTGGCATATAAACAGATTGAGGCAAATGTTCGATCATAATATTTGTCTTGCAATATCAGAGAATCCAAATAAATAAATCATGCATGCATGCATCCCACATGAGCTGCAGGACAGGGATTTTGCTCAGGTATAAGCAGCACGATAATTGATTTTCAAGTGCCACAATGCATGCCTACTGTTTGAAGCATATGCTTTCTGTGTGGTATAAATATCTAATAAATTGACTTGGCAATTTGATATCTTTTTCCCAAGAACATTAATCAGTTCACTCAAGGACTGGTTCTACAGTTTCAATAGGCAGAGGAGTGTCTAGAAAATCATTTCACCCTCATTTCTCATTCATGCTGACACCCTAAGACAATTTCACTTGCACTGCATGGATAATAATCGAACAACATTTGCACACGTCCTAGATATATGTGACACTATAGTCCATTTATATAAGAAACCGCTACATATATATTGCTTTTCCATGGCATGCAAAAGATGTATTATACAAAATTGCTGTGGCATAAACTGAATAATTTACAAGAAAATGAGATTATCAAATACCTGAGCTTCTCAAGTGGAGAACAACCTAATTTGATATCACAAACTGGACAACTATCCAACTCCTCATCACTTATCTTCATGTCTATGCATTTTCTGCAAACTATTTAAAAAGAAGAAGAAGCAGGCATTAGATATACTCGATGAGAGATGTATGTAACATCTAGGCAAGATATCACTTAAAACGTACTGATTAAATGATAGAATACTAAAAAAGAAATCTATTTCTAAAGGAAAATATAAAATCTAAACCTTTATTCACCATCCCCAAACACATTACTGTTCCCATTTGACAGCATGAACTAAGCGAGGACATGGCAATTTTGACGAACTTGAACAGCGCAAAAGCTCCCAACAACCCCAAGTTATAATTTCACCTTTATGGCAACAAACATTGAAACATTTACATATATATGAACATTAACAAAATGATGACTTTATGGTTGATGAATTACTAGAAAGCTTGCAGGCTCACATCATTTACATTGCTCCTACGCAAAATAAGGAAGCCAAATTTGCCAATCAAATTTCAATGTTTTCCTTTATTTCAAAATAAAATTCCCAATCCATTCGGCATAAATAGACCAAGAAAACAAAATAAAGAAATGCCAAGATCATAAAATCGCATTTCATTTACACTAATACTCTACATATCACAAAATAACCAAAACAATATATAAGCCATGCTCAACTTCAAGCATTAAAAGATGATACACGAATTACGTGAAATAACAATTAAAGGCCCAAATCAAGAAACAAAAAAAAATGGAATAACACAAGATAAACACACATATAAAAAGCGAGAGAGAGACTCACAAGTATGGAGGCACTCAGAGATAGTAGTGGCTTCTCTAAAGAGCTTGTTGCAAAGAGGACAGGTCATGCATGCCGCTATCCTCTCTTTTTGAACCTTCACCACCTGGCCTAACATCATCTTCGCGAACACCACCACCTGCCTTTTGGCTCTCTCACTGTGACACTAACACTCTCCTTTGTTTCACGTGCCCCACATGGTGCATGTAATCAAGACCCCACAAATCACCAAACTTCTTTATTCTTTTTCCAATAAAAAAAACCACGACAATCACAAGCAAGAATCGGTGAAGAAACAGTAGGGGTTGAGTTGGTTGGTGATTAACGATTTCAAAGAATTCATTATGGTGGTGGCTTTGTGTTTGGTGAGCGAGAAAAAGGAATTAAAGAGAGGGGTATTATTAATAAAAACAAAAGGATGAAGAGAGTGAGATTCTGGAGGAATTGATTGGAAGTGGGTCTTGTTCGATTTGGACAATGGCAATGGCTTTGGTATGATGTGATTTGTTCGAGGCTCTCAATGTTTTCGAATACATTCACCGAAACTCCTCCCCACAAAACAAAACTTATACGGTGAGCTATTAACGATGCCTGTTTTTTTAAAAGAAGCAACTAAACTGTTTTGGCCAAACCTCGAACGAGTCCCTCAACTATATAGTAATTTTAGATTGAGTTCCCAAATACAATTTTTTATCCTAATTAAATCCTTAATTTAGTTTTAAAATTCTCAATTTACTTCCCTTGTCCAGGCTGGCTTGGTGCAGTTCTATTTGGAATCGGAGAATGTGCCTTAAAGTCCGATTTGCTAATGGACTCTGCTCAAATATTTAACTTTTTCATGGATTAAAAAAACCAACCTTTTTGTAGGAAGCTTGGTGTTTTGTGTTTATGTTTGATTATTGCCTTTAGTAATATCGTGGTCAGATTAATATTTTTAATGTAAAATAATATTTAGATATTACTAATAAATTTTTAATAAAAAATAAAATATATAAAAATTGATTTATGTTAATTTAACTGGTCCAAAAATAAATTTTATTACCGTTAAAAACATAGTTTAAATAAAAAAAGATTAAAAAAATATTTTTTTAAAAAAATTAAAATAATAACATATTAAATTAACTTATATCAATTAAATTTAATTTGTTAAATCCATGATCTAAATTGTTAGACCAAGATAACCTTGCAAAAAATAAATTATAAACTTAAATTTTAAAAAAATCAATTAAAATACAACTCGAGTCAGTTTGAGTTAACTTACAAAACTTATAATTCAATTTATGTGATTAGGACAACTTTATATAATGAAAATTATATATATATATATATAGTTGAATTTTCAATAAACCTAATATTTAAAGATAAAATAAAAACAATTAAATAAAAGATATAAAAAAATAACCCGAGTCAGTTTAGGTTAACTTATCAAACTTATGAATCATATTTAAAGATAAAATTAAAAAATAAAAACAATTAAATAAAAGATACAAAAAAATAACCCGAGTCAATTTAGGTTAACTTATCAAACTTATGAATCAAGTAAAAAACCTGGGATAACCTCTTAAAAAACAAAAAAGAAAAGATTTAAAACCTAGTTTAAAATAAGAAAATATTGAAAAATAAAATATAAATTAAATTAAATTAAAAAAAACGAGTTAACTTATTAAACTCTTAATTTTAATTATAAAAACAAGATAAATAAACTTTTAAAAAATAAAATTGAAAAAAAAAAGAAAAAAACTACTTTTTAAGCAATAATTTATTAGGAGAAGGGGATAATAATTTCATATATATATATATATATATATATTGATCTCATAGTCAACTTTATCATTTATTAGATTCAACTTTATTATAGACACATAACTGATATATTTATAATTAATGTTTTCTCTGAACTTCATCACCTCATTTTAATGATATTATTTAGCTATGTACCTGTGATGTGGAATTATCCTTTTTAATTTGATAGTCTGATTATTTATAAATGAATACATTTTTTATCCTATTAATATTTATATAATCATTTTACCAAATCATATTCTATGATAATGAAAGAGAATAATACTCCAGTATATATTTAGTATTATAATAGCTATTATAATTATGATTTTAAAAAATATTTTATAAAACATATTTTTAATTCATGTTAATTTGAAAAAATATAAATTTAATTATATTTATATTTTTTAAAATTAATCTTAACTAAAAATATTTTTCATAAAATAACCTTTTTTAAACTATAATCATGGTACCCAACATACACCGTAGTATAACTGTATAAGTAAAGGGTTGATTACGTATTAATTATCCAGCCATGCCTTGGAGTGGTGGTTCTGGGCACGTGTACTCACGTGAGTGTTGTGTTCGAAATTCAAAGGCTGTATGCAATAAAAGGTACCATGACAATGACAGACCAACTGGTTATTGGATTCGAAAGTACTAATGGGGGCTTTCACCTGTGGTACGGCGTCGTCGATATGATTGTGAGTAATTATGGCAACTATTTTTCTTTTTTTGCTTTTTTAAACGGACTCTGTTAATTGTGGATTCCGATAGAGCCCACAAGATTTCAAGAGAAACGTATTTTCCTGGCATTATGAGAGGATAGTTCTCCTATAGTAGTACTGTCAATTATAAGGGTACGTTTGTTTTACATTAATTTCTGTATTTTCAACGCAAAAAATACAATTAAATATTTAATAATACATCAAACTATGCTTTATACTGTGCAATCTATCAAAAAAAAATAAATTTAAAATGTAATTTTTATAAAACAGTTTTTATATATTTTTTTAATTGAGTTTCATAAAATTTTATTTGTTTTTACATTTCAAAAGTATTTTTTTTCTTTACTTTAAATTATTTTTTTAAATCATTTTAATGCTCTAATATTAAAAATAATTTTTTTAAAATATAAAAATTATTTTAATACATTTCTAAGTATTTTTAAAAAGTTAAAAATAATTTTTTTAAAATATAAAATTTTTTTTAATATATTTCTAAGTATTTTTAAAAAGCTACAGGGCATTCACCTAGCTTTCTCATGAGCTCAAGTTTAATAGCATGTCCTGAGCTAAACATATTTATGATTGAATTCATTTTTTTTTTATCTCAAATAAATTTAAGATCAATGTTTGTTAATAATTTTTGTGGATCTCATATTAATTTTTTTAATATTTTATACTAATTCAATATATATTATTTTGAGTAGAATATAATTTAAAATATCATAAAAAATAAGATCGATGAACTATAAATACACTATAAATTCTTCAAGTCAAAAATTCATAGTTTCTTCATTCTATATTATATATATATTTTCATCGTATCTTTCTTAAATGTTATTATATTTTCTCTTTATAAAGTTACTAATTTACCACATAGAGTCTCCATATTCATTAAAAAAAAAACCACATAGAGTCTCCATATTCATTAAAAATTTTTTTTTTACAAGTACCAATTATAAGTCATATAACTCCCGCGTAAAATTCTTGTATTTTGATTTACAAGAAAAAGGGATGTGTGTGTGTATAAGCATGTAGTTCATATTATTTGTGATAAACAATACTTAAAAGAATATATATATATATATATATATATATATATATGATTGAAGCAAGTATGTTAAGTTTGTAATTTATGGTTTGTGCATCATGGTTAAGGTAATTTTTTTTTATTGTAGCAAAATAATTATTCTTTGAGTTAATATGTTAAAGAAAGTAAAATATTGTTGATTGGGATATGTTAGAGTATAATAAAAATATTGAATTGTAAAAATGGTTGATTAGGGATTGATATTGATTTTGTTGATAACTTGAGATAGGCTAAATTAGAGGAAACCTATTGAATTTTTTAAAAAAAAAATCATGAATTTTTAAAATATATTATTTAAAAATTTTAAAGTTGTTATAGGTAACCTAATTTACCAGATATTACCTGCTACTAATTAACAACTCTCTAAACTTTTTACATCAAATCATTATATACCTTGATTATAAAAAATAAATCGAATTACTTGAAATAAGAGATATATAGTCTAATTATCTAACATATTAATTTTATTTCTAAACATCTTAAATTTTAAAATTTATAAAAAACATAAATTAAAACCTCGAGGATGGACTCCCATATTCAAACTATTTAACATTCCATTGCTTATTAATATGTGTAAATTTGGGGTGTAGAATGGAAAAAGAAATACCGATAGGTTTTGTAGAGAGAACATTTGAAACTCTTTCGAAATTAAAAAAAAAAAAAAAGAAGGTATCCTTACAGAAGGGACTATACCAGTTCTTCAAAGAGAAGTTGTAATTTCAAACATTGTTCACTACTTATCTACAGTCCGCCTCTGAGATGGCGAGAAATCCACATTGGTTTCTATGTGCACAGTGGCTATAGTTTTCTTTTTCATATTTACAAAATTTGTCACATCATCATTGGATTTCTATTACACAAATAAACAAACAGAGATGATGATTATCGACAATGGTCACCAGAAAGTAAGATGCTCCAACCATGGTGGCAGCCTCATTGTCATTGAGCTGGCCAGCTACCTGTGAACTGTGATTTTCCTCCGGTCCTTGTAACCTCTCCATGTCATTTCTATCTCCCCTGGCAAGCTGGCTTTACTGGGCAGCATGGGGCAACGCAATAGCCATATTTCGATGCTCCAACTTTCCTGGCCATAACAAGGCTCTGTGATGTGTCAGATATTTTCAGCTCAGCTGGCAGTGCTACTGCTGCCTTAAGAAACATGAGATCGATGCCGCTATCCGGACAAGTTAATTAGTTCTCTGTGGGATCTTGATGCACCTTGATTTGCTAGAGGAACTGATCGCAGAAGCACTCTATGATCACTTCCTATGTTCTTTTCTCGTTGTATTTCTGGCGCATGGGCCATGCACAAGCAGGTGCCGGATGTTGCTATTAGTTTTATGACTCTGTATATTCCTAGATTCATCCTGTCCAGTCTTAGAGAGATCATAAACAGATAGAGAGCTAATTAATCTTCCTCTGTCGGACTTTATAATAAACAAGAAGTTATGTTGTTAATTACTTATAACTTAATCGATCTTCGTAATATATAGTTTACACAGTAATTATTGATTATTAGTTTTCATGGTTTGGGAAACGATATATATATGCAATCTTTATAAATATATCTATAACTTGTTTTTTTTTATGTTATTTTTTCTTTATTTTAAAAAGCATAAATAGTAATGAATAAATAATATTTAACTTTTTTTGCACTACAAGTGTTAATTAAGGATCCAGGTGCCTCAGTGACGTTGTTGTTAAAAAGTAATTTGATGCTCCTAATCAATTCATATGTTATTTTTTTTTTAATTTATTGTAAGCACTTAAGAACGTTGTCATATAAAATAATAATTATTTAATATATTAATTTAATAAAAATCATGATTTTTATTTTTTTAACACAATTCAGCAATGAGTGAAGTTTAATAAACGCATTATAATATGTTTAAGGAGAACACTAATCATTAGCTTTTTTATTAATTAATTTATTTTGATAAACTATCAGGAC